AAACAAACTGCGAGAGAAGAAGAAGAGCGGTAAAAAGGAACAAAGTTTAGATTTTTCGCAACAAGTTTTCGCATTTAAAGAAAACTTCCACCCTCCGGATTAACCATGGAGGTGGACCAGATGCCGCTGGCCGACGTGGTCTTCATCATCGAGGGCAGCGCCATCAACGGGGCGTACATCAACGAGCTGAAAACCAATTACATCCTGCCGACGCTGGAGCACTTTACAACTGGCTCCATTGACGAGCGGGAATACCTGATTGCAGAGCGATTTGCCACGCTGTACGGGATCGTGGTGTACCGCACTGCCGCCAATCTGCTGGAGCCCGTGTGCGCCACCTACGGGCCCTTCCTGCAGCCCCAGAAGGTGATGGAGACGATCGAAAAGTTACCACTGGTGGGAGGTGGAATGGAGTCCTGTGCTCACATGGCCGAAGGATTTGCCGCGGCCCACGGCTGCTTCGACGACATCAGCGAACGGCGCCAGCTGCTCGACCAGACCAGCGTCCAGAGGCACTGCATCCTCATCTGCAATAGCCCGCCATACCAGATGCCCACCACAGAATCGTGGAAGTATCCGGGCAAATCCTGCGAGCAACTGGCGGCACTCTTTAACGAGCGCAAGATTAACCTATCCATCATTGCGCCTCGGAAGATGCCGGTACTGTTTAAGCTTTTCATGAAGGCCGACGGAGATCAGCCCATTACGAGCAAAAACTACGCCAAAAACATCCGGCATCTGGTGCTGCTCAAGGGCTACAGTCTCAAGGAGCGAGCTCCCAGTCCCAACAGCATGGCGGCCCAGATGGCCGCCCCCAATGCAGCACAGGCTGCAGTGCAGCAGCAGCAACAGCAACAGAATCCGACGGGTCAGCAACAACCAGGTCAAGGTATGCCCATGGACACCACGCCAGCTCAACAGCAGCAGCAACAACAACAACAGCAGCAGCAGCAAGGCAATCCCCAGCAACAAGTCATGAACATGAATTCCATGCAGCAACAGCAGCCTGGTCCCAATCCCCAGGCGGGCCTTCTCAATCCACAGCAACAACAGCAGCTCCTGCAGCAACAGCAACAACAGCAGCAGAATCAATTTGTGCCCAATCAGATGCAGAATCCGAACTTCCAGCAGAACGTGGGACCCGGTCAAAACCGGTGGATGTTTCCCAACCAGCCGGGACAGGCACGTCCGCCCTACATGCAGGGAGCAGGCAATGTGGGTGGAGTTGGCCAAGGCGGGGGCATGCAACAGAATCCAAATTCTGCTCTGATCTCGCGCATTAATGCGCCGCCGCCGAACCAAACGGTTACCTCGCTACAGCAGCAGCAACAACAGCAGGCCCAGCAACAGCAACAACAGGCTCAACAGCAGCAGCAGCAGAGGATGCAGATGCTCAACCAGCAGCAGATGCTGAACCACCAACAGTTGCAACAGCAACAGCAACTGGCCCAGCAACAGCAGCAGCAGGGGCAGCAACAGCAACAGGGCAATCCCAATGCCGGGAACAACATGATGCCGGCTGGCAATGCGGGCAACATGCCCAATCCACAGCAACAGCAGCAAGTGGGACAAGTGGCCAATCCCCAACAGCAAGGAAATCCTCAGCAGCAACAGCAGGCGAATGCGCAGCAGGAGCAGGCCTCCCTGCGCGAAAAGATCTGGACTGGGGTGCTGGAATGGTCAGAGAAACCGAAATCGGATCAGCAGAAGATTCCTCACACACTCCAGTGCACTGTGTGCACCAACATCAAAGACGGCGAGCCCGAGATCAAGGCTGAGAACTGGCCGCCCAAGCTGTTGATGCAGCTAATGCCCAAGCATCTGGTTGGCAACATAGGCGGGCAGTTCCTGAAGGACTCAAAGATGGTTGTTTTTCGACCCACTCCGGGAGAAGCACTTGATTCGCTGGCGAAAATGATGACCTCCGGCTATGCTGGCTGCGTTCATTTCTCCTCCATCCCCAATTCGCCCGCCTGCGATCTCAAGGTTCTTATTTTGCTCTACACTCCCGATCGCAACGCCTTCCTGGGCTTTATTCCCAACAATCAGGCAATGTTTGTGGAGCGTCTGCGCAAAGTCATTCAGCAAAAGCAGCACGGTAACATGCAGCAGCAGCAACAACAGCAGCAAATGATGCAGCAGCAGGGCAAGTCGCCCATGGAGCTGCAGCAGCAACAGCAACAACAGCAGCAGATGCAACAGGACAACTCTCAGCAGCAACACTACAACCAGTACCAGCTCAACATGCAGATGGGCGGAGGAGGTCCAGGCGGAGGACCAGGTCCTGGGCCCGGCGGTATGGCCATGCAGCAGAATCAGATGCAGATGAACATGATGCAGCAACAGCGGATGCCGCTGGGCGTAGGCGTTGGACCCGGTGGCGTGCCTAATCCCAATCTCCAACAGCAGTTACAACAGGTGGCGCCGAACGTGGCCGCAATGCAACAGCAACAGGCACAACAGCAGCAGCAGCGCATGGTTCGCCCCATGATGAGTAACAACAATCCGGGACTTCGCCAGCTTCTACAACATCAGACCACGCCAGGCAACCAGTTCCGTCCGCAGATGGGCGGCCAGAATCCTAATCAAATGGGTGCCGGCGGTCCAATGGTTGGCAATCGCAACTTTGACGATGGCAGCTATGAGTTCATGTAGGCTCCTTCAAAAGATCGCATAGCAAACTACATTTAAGCTACTTAAATATTTTATACAGTACAACTCTATTTTGGGATATTCAAAATCTACAAAGATATTGAGGTCGTTTAGATGTAGCCCAACTTTTTTGAGTCACAGAGTTTCTACAGACAAATCTTAAGGGGTTACAAAGGTTTCAAGGATCAAGAACGCTTTCATGATTTTTTTTAATATTTCGAATGATATTTTAAGCTTACATGATTTGGTATTTGCGTTACCTCAGGCAAATCGACTTGAAGAGCATAACTTTCAAGGACTATTACATAAATTATGGGTCCGATCGAATTAAAGTTTAGATAGTCTAGATAACTATAAAAAAACCTTATGTAACCCCTTAAGATATGCATAAGCTCCGCATATAACAATTAACATGTCTCCATTTCCCTTAATTTAAACATTAAACTGCAATTCATTTCGACGTTTTTATCATATTTCGTTTATTAATTGTATTTAATTAGTATGGATCAATAGTGATGAATATTCAATTTACGAAAAGTTAATATTAATCACAGAACACAGAGTCCGGAAAAAAGCCAACTAATTTCCTCCCCCGCCGCCGCCAGAGGAAGCTGAACTTGCGTTCCCAGCACTAGCGGCAAAGAGCTTCCGCAGATTCGTCAGGATTCCAATGAGTACTGTGCCGGCGGTGCCCAACGTCTCCAGGAGATCGAAGCTGGTGCTGTCGATGGCCGTCTCTCGATCCTCCTCCGTTTCGATGGCCGGAGAGCTGATGTTACCGGCAGGATGATGCGTTTCGTGGACGCCATGGTGTCCAATCAGGCGATGGGTATTACTCTTGACGTGGGAATCGTTTACACCACCACCACCTACCGCATTGATTAGGTGCTTTACCGGCTCCAGGACCGGAATAGCCAGCTTAATGCGATGCCATTCGTCCGATGATTCGGTGAAGCCCTCGTGTTGCTCCCCAGCGATCTCCATATCATCCAGCATGTTGCGTTCACTGACTGGCTCGTCGTCCGTCTCCACAGATAGCTGCAGACTAACATTACCCGGCAACTGCAACAAACTGCTGAAAAGCTGCTGCAAATGCGCCGAGTTAGTCGCCTCTGCCTCATTCTGTTCAAAATCGAACTCCGAACGGACTCCAGTCTTCGGTTTCTGGTTCACAAAGCTGGTCACATGTTGCATTTCGGTTTGGGGATAGGAATCACTGGAGTTGGTTGGCTTGGCGGATGTCGTCGTCAGCAGCAGCAGCCACAAAAACTGCAGATATATACGGGAGAAATGGAACCTTTAATTGGCACTTAATGACCGGCTTCACGTACGTTTATGAATATTGAATGCGATCGATAATGAGGCTTTCTATATTCAAATCCCACCGTGCACGCGTCGCTAGACCTTGAAATCGTTCTATAAGATATGACAATACTGCAAATCAAAGATCAGTTTTTGGAGCTATGATATGTTACTGTCTGTGCTTTTGTGGTTCCAATAAATGGCAGAGAGGATATGATCGAAAGTATGATAGAGTTTTGGTGATCATATTTCTGTTCTTAAAGTTTAAAATTTTTTTACCTTCTAGTAGGGTCTTTAAATTAATTTGATTTTTTAATAGCTTTTTTTCATAAAGGTTCGACAAGATTCAGTTCATAATTTCAAAGTTTATTTTTAAAAAATACAATTAGTCTAAAGATATTTACTTTAGTAATATCATCTCAATTTTAAACCAAATCAAAACAAAGAAAATATTTCAAACTTGTTACTTGACCTACACCAATCTAAAAATTGCAGCTCCTTCAATAGTTTATGAGTCACTGACGTTTCTAGAAAACCCACTGTTCGAATTCAGCCATCATCATGTTCCCCATTAATCAAAGCCACGAGTATGCTTACATTCAAAAAGACAATACAACATATGGAACTATATGTGGAACTGGCCAATCGCAACATTGTCAATGAAATACACGGATCTAACTCTTGTCTAGAAATCGAAACTTAAACCGCTGCCAGCAAAAGCAAAAATCGAACTGAACTCAACCGAATGTCCAACAAATACTTGGGTGACCAGAGCCCAGCTGAAGGCACTTGGCGGGTCGGCAAATTAATTAATATGCAGCAAAGGTAGGGGCAATTGTAGTACCTAAATTATATTCAAAATGCATTTAGAGGCCCCGAAAAAGTTGGCTCTCCTGGGTTCGGACGGTATGATGATGATATGGGCTCATATCTGCATCAAAATGTTGCACTTATCGATTTTATCAAGGATATCCACATCGAATATAACTAAAATTTCGAGAACACAGTAGGCTTCTGGGCTTAAGTTACTAATTTGGCATGATTTTTGGATTCATTGTCTAGACACAGCTCACAGCTATCACACACAACATATTTTAAACCTAAAAAAAATTCCACCAAATTCAAAATTTCAAAATTTTTGTTCTGGACCTTTTAATAGAAGTGTAAAGTTTTGTATTATGCGCGTATTTGGTAGAGTAACGAACTATTTTAAGGTAAGCGAGCTAAAGACAAAGTTATTTTATTCGTAGAGATTGAGCGTAAATTGAAGTCGTTGTAAAGTAAAAAGCTAGGATAGTGCGTTCCTGGCGGTTACTGCATATAATTCGAAATTTTTTCTTGTAAAAACCTATGTATAATCAGTAGGCCCCTTATTTTATGTTGACATTTCACTAGACTAGTACCTTATTTCCTTTCACTACGTCTAACACACCACACTCCATTTCGGTTTCCCCTTTCTTTTTTCAAAACTAAAATTCTACCGTGACTAATATATGCATTCTGGATAAAGTGAAAAAAAAATTCTCAAAACATAAAAAGCAAAAATGCCGGGGATACTCGGGACGTTCCCGACTCATCGTCTTGGACCGCACCTCTCGCAGATATCCCGATGCCTTAGCTACCACGCTCCGCTCTTCCGGCCGCGCAGCCTGATCCACGAAAAGAGGTTCAGACAGTTGTGCATCAGTGTCACCTCTGGAGCCAAGACGACTCCTCAGGCTGACAGGACCTGCAATCCAGGTCGCGTCCGGGTGCAGAAGTACTCGCAGAAGGGCAACAATGTCTTCTCTATCAGCGACAATGTGGATATGTTGCGGAAACGGATCAGCTTCTCTGGGACATCGGGCAATGCACCCAAGATCCTGCCCATTGGCCTGATCACACCGGAAACTGGCGATGGCAAGGAACTGAAGATCGTCATCGTGCCTTTGGACCTGTCCGGCATGGATGCCAATGCTCTGAAGGATACACTGGAGACCATCAACCAGTTGCGGTTGTACGCCAATCATATAGAGACCTTTTCCAGCAGCATGGTCGAGGAATACGGCGCCTTGAACGAAGCCCTTCAGGAAGTGGAATCGCAGGCACAGTCGGAAGACGTCAAGGCGGAGTCCAACGCCGATGATCGTAAATTCTGGGAAAGCTACCCATCCTCACCAGCGGCCGACGTCGATGCCGTGGGAACCGCAATGGATGCGGGCATGGGTGCGGGGTCCAACATGCCCCTGCAGCGCCAGGCTGCGGTCAGTAGCTGCCTTCAGAACTCTCTGGGAAATCCAGTTCGTCCAGCAGCTACCAGTTCTTCACTGAAAACCACCAAGTCCATGTCAGCGCTGGCCCAACCCGAACCCATCCAGGACTCTGGCCTGGGAGCAAATCTCAAAGAGCTCGCCTCCCAAGAGGGCGACTTTGTCGAGGAGGTGCGAGTGGATGTGCCGCAGGATCTGAGCAATCGACTCAACGAGATGGCAGTCTCCTCCATGGAGCTGTCCTTTGAAATGGACATGACCAACCTGCGAGATGCTCTCAATAACAAGGACCCGAATTCGGTAGCTCCGCAAAATCCCATGATCTGTATGCACACCAAGGTGGAACTGGATGCAACCGGTAAGGCGGTGCAAACCCTGCCTCTCAGGTTCAATGCCTTGATCTCTGGCGTGGTGGAGATCGATGCTCAGAAGCTTAAGGACGCCCAGTTGACAGAGGATAAAATGCCAGGGTTCAACGATGACCTCACATCGCTGGCTGCCAATCTTTGCAGCACCGCCCTGGAAAAGGGTTTCGCCACCAGCTCAAAATCTCCGGACGACCCCTATATCGCCGATCTGGAACTGACCAAGGATGAGGAGGCCTTTCCGACCAGGATCATCGATACTTCCTATATGTCGGCATCTACTCAAATCGGACATCAGCGTGAAGCCCTGCAGAAGATAGCAGAGGAAGCTTCTACTGTGCCGGGCATCCAGGAGGTGGAGGTACCTGTTCCGGTGGACAAGGATGGCTGCAAGAATCCGCCCGTGAAGCCCAAGCGCAAATGTCCTGGCAAATGTCCCCTTATCACAGATCCCTGCAAGGAGGATCCTTGCGAGCGTCCTGAAAAGAAAAAGGCCCCCAAGAAAAAGGCGGAACAAACCACGGAGATAACATCAAAGGCCAAGGGTGGCGGCAAGAAAGATTCCTGTGCAAAGGGCGGAAAAGGCAAGGACAAGAAGGATCCATGTGCCCAGAAGAAGGACGGCGGTGGCAAGAAAAAGGATCCTTGTGCTAAGTTCAAGTCTGGGGAGAAGAAAGATCCTTGTGCCAAGAAGGACGATAAGAAAAAGGATCCTTGCGCCAAGAAGAAGGATCCCTGTGCCAAGAAAGACGATAAGAAAAAGGATCCCTGTGCCAAGAAGAAGGATCCTTGCGCCAAGAAAGACGATAAGAAGAAAGATCCTTGTGCCAAGAAGAAGGATCCCTGTGCCAAGAAAGATGATAAAAAGAAAGATCCCTGCGCCAAAAAGAAGGATCCCTGCGCCAAAAAAGACGATAAGAAGAAAGATCCCTGTGCCAAGAAGAAGGATCCTTGTGCTAAGAAGGACGATAAAAAGAAGGATCCATGCGCCAAAAAAGACAATAAGAAGAAAGACCCCTGTGCCAAGGACAAAAAGAAGGATCCCTGCGCCAAGGGCGGTAAGGATGACAAGAAGAAAAAGGATCCCTGTGCCAAGTTTAAGAAGGGCGGCAAGGATGGCAAGGATAAGTGCAAGTTCTCCACCTTTTCTAGGCGTCCAGATCCAAGCAAACGCTATCTGTCCACTGCCCTGAGCCACGTCTTCCAAGAATCGGCTCCAGTTCCAAAAGCTCCCCGCTTCCAAGTCTACTCCACTCTTGTACGCCGTCACTATCGTGTCCCTGCTCTCAAGACCTCGAGCTCCTGCCAGTGTTCCCTATGTAAGGGTCATCTGCTGGACAAGGCAACTCCTCCTGCCCGGTTCACGATCAACACAACCCTTCTGCGGCGACGCTTTGGTGGACTTGCGGGTAGGATCACCCCTGGTTCCCTGAGCCAATTCAGCTATCGGGGATACGCGAAGAAAAGCAAGAAGGGCGGCAAGTGCGGCCAGATGGCGCCCAAGTACCCCAAGAGTCGTGGCAAGGACATCAAGGAGCGGACGGGTCTGCGAGAGGATTGTTTCAGCGGTGAAGACGGCGGTTGCGGGATCAAAAGCTGCACCGGCAAGTGCGCCAAGGTCAAGTTCCCCAAGAAGAAGTGCGAGCGCAAGGAGAAAAAGGACGATGGTGCGTAGAATTGCAATTTGTGGTGGGTCACCGGTTCCCCAGGTCTATCATCTCTTCCCAAGGTAGAATAGGCAATCTCTTCGCCCGGAATACCTCTGTGCAGCTGCAGACGCAACGACGATCACTCAGCACAAGGGTCTGTTGCCACCCTTCTCCGAAACCCAAATCTGACGAACAGGCTCTTGCGCTGCGTATCTCGAATTCCTATGAGGTCAAGGTGGTTCCCGTTTCCAAACCTCGTCCCAAGGATTTCGGTAAGATCTTCCATTTAATCCGCCTTAATTTCAATCTTGAAGAAATGCTTTAGGAATATGTTTGGTATAATTACTTTCAATACTAATTTCTTTTTTGATTACTTATGCTATTAATCAATATATTACTAGCTTAACCTGATAAGAAGAATTTCTGTTGGTTGTCCTTTTAAAAACTTAATTAATGTCTAAAACGAAAGCTATAGTAATATTTTGTTTTCAATACTATTAATACTTATTCTATTAATCAATATTTTCCTTTAAAAAAGGCGAAATTAATGTCTAAAACGAAAACTATAGTTATAGGATTGGTATTATTAATTTATCACTCATCGTAGAATCTGAACAATTAACATGGTTGATTGATTACCTATTTTACTAATCACGTTCTACCAATATAAAGCTCCACACAACATAAAAAAATTTACTTATTAATATACTTTTTATAATCAATATTATCCATTAAATACCGATCCCAGACGTTCTTATTCGAACGGGTTCCGTGGCCATCTCGAACTCGGACATACATGTGTACGAGAACGGCAGTCGCGACATAGAAGCCATGTCCCTGGGCCACGATGCCACGGGATTCGTGGAGGAAGTCGGTCGCTGTGTCCATCATCTGCACGTGGGTGACCGTGTCGTCATGGAGTCTGCCTTGTCCTGCGGCATCTGCGACCTGTGCAAGCAAGGGCAGTACAACATGTGCTCTGGGCTGGTGTACAATGGCTTCCTGAGCACCTACCAAACGCATCCGGCCGACCTATGTCACCGACTTCCCCCGTCCATCAGCATGGAGGAGGGCGCCCTAACCCAAACATTAGCCCTGGGATGTCAGGCGTGCTTCAAGGCTAATATCACGCCCACCAGCAATGTCCTCATCCTGGGATCCTGTCCGACGGCAGTGGCGGCAGGCATATGCGCCAATGCCATCGGGGCCAAGCGTGTGGCCATTGCAGGATGCATGGCTCCCGCCCTGGATGTGGTAGCCCGGGACTTTGGCTTCCAAGCCGTCGAGTTCGACAGCAACGCCCTGTTCGGTGAGGTCCTGGAGGCCATCTACAGCAAGTTCAAGGACTGGCCAGACTGCGTCATAAACTGCTCCATCTCGGCCATGACGATGAACCTGGCGGTCATGGCCCTGCAGCCTTGTGGCGTCTGCGTGCTGGCTGAGTGCGATTCGGAGTGCGCCAGTTTCAATGCCTTGGATGTCCTGATGAAGAACATCCGCCTGGTGCCCAGCTTTCGGTCCGCCAATATGTTAGTAAACCAGAGGCTTAATAGTTACCACTAAGATTAATCTTCTTCGATCCTACAGGTATCCCACTGCCATCCAACTCATGCGATCTGGTCGTGCACTCATGCACAAGTTCATTACGGCCTCATATCCTCTAAGCAAGGCGGAGGAGGCCTTCCGAACTGCCCAGCACGAGTCCAACGTTGGGCTGGGGAAGATCATTGTTAACTGTGCGGACGAAGTGGACATCGAGGAGAATCTAAGGAGGAATTCCAAATTGGCATCGTAGAAAATTATGGTAGTAAAAGCTGTGTAGAAGACCACATCAATGAATTCTATTATACTTGAGGTTGCTACTCGTGTGTTTTCGATTTTAAATTGGGAATTAAAATAAAACAATAAATTTTAAGTATTGCAACAAAAATCGCTTCGCATTTTACTAAGTTCTGCGTGGGCCCATAAAACAATTAATTTGAAAGTGCGGTCATTAAAATACTTCAAATAAATATTCTTTAACAGCATTCTAAAATCTAACCTCTCTGGCTCATCGGTAGATTTGTTTATGTGTATACATACATTCATTTATATATTTATGTAAATATATTTTATAAAATTATTATTGTACTTCGCTGCTTACAACAAACTATTTTACAATTTTACAAGAACGAAAGTGACTCACTAAAGGTGTGTATGCTAAGGGGGAATCAATGTACACAAATACAAATTGGAAAAAGAAAACATAAGCTAACAACAATTATAATAACGCATACATTTTTAATTTTTAAGCATTTGACTACATCGCACACTTTGGAACATTGCTTGGACTGAGTATAAATAATAATTAGAGCTAACTAATAAGATTTAAAGATATGCCATTTTATATGTGAGTGTGGAACTAATTAATGGACTGTTTTGTGGTTTCGGTTGCCTATGGTACTGCCGCTTTGCTGGTTCTTTGTTCCCTGGTTGGTTTGGATATAGCTTTCCAATTACTATCGATCGTTTTGGCCAACAGTAGTTACATACATTTATACTAGTAGAATCGTCAGAGTCTAAAATAAAAACCACTCGCTCTGCCACCCGGAGCTTCCGATCGTGAAGGTAGTTTGTCTTTTGGCGTTCAATCGTATCCACTTTTTTGCTAGTTGTCATGTATCTGCATTTCCAGTTCCACATCCGAGAGATTTATCTGCCGCATCGAATTGATGAACATGTAGCGCGATGTGTATATGTAGAGCCAGCGGAACCATCTCATCTGCGACTGGTGCTCCTTCATCGCGCTCCTCACGATCGCAGCCTCCTTCCAGTTAAGTATGCACCTGCATAAAAGATCACTCATATTAGAATTGGTATTTGTGCTTGAGGTCATATATCTTACCAATGCGTAGACATAAAGCACGTGCACAGCAGATCCAAGATCGACAGATATTTTCTGACCACATTGATCGAGTCCAAGGTGTAAAACTTGCAATCTGCATTGGGAAGAAACGTAAAAAATTGCTGTATACTATAATATCTAAGGCTATTAATAGCGACAACTGCAGCGATGGGCACGCCAATTAACGTGCACCCATTGTTTGCATCCGTCGCCGCCCGCGTGACTCACACGCCTCCTCACCTTTGGGCAAAAGGTTGGCCAAACAGAGCGAGGCGGCCGCGTAATACACGGCACAATGGTTCGGATGCGAGCTTACGCCATCGCGATCGAACGTGAATATCGCCTGGATGTCAAGGCTTTCGACGGCGTGGAGTATCAGACTGGCCACGGCATCTGGGCGCCAGTCTACGTAGGGGTCGTCCGGCAGGTTGGTGGCATTCATCAGCACGATGTTGGACTCGGGGATGCCCAGTTTGGAGCACGAGCGCCATAGTTCCTGCCGCCTCACCTTCGCCTTGTGCTCGAAGTTGCCTGTTTTGGAAAGGGAACATATTAATTAGACTCTTTCTGAATAGGATAAGCTTATGGGGTGGTTATTTTAAAAGAGTAAATATGAGATATGAACTTACTTATTTAATCTATTAGTACTATCCATTCTATATTACCACATTTAAAACCATTTCGGTTTTTTCAATAAATATATAAGAACCTTATTGGATTCTACATAATACAGAGATCTATTATTATTTCAATAAAAAGATTTTATACAGTTGTAATCTAAATAACAATTCAACATTTCTAAATAATATTAAGTTTAAAATTATTCCATTTGGAATACGACTATACAATGTAAATTCATTCTATTTTTAAAAATCCAAACTTTGGCGGTTCCAGTTCGTCTATACAATCTAAAGTTAATGAACCTTATTAGATTTGATTGTTAGGAAAAAAGTGTAGTACTCCATGAAATGCCTATTAAAACCTTGCATTAAAACTTTTACGACGACTTAACTAATATTATTTTGTCTATTGTTTATAAGGTTCTATTGTAGGGGTTCAATTGATGGCTTCTCGAGAAAGGTTGTTCCCATATGGAAGCACTAAAGCTTAATACGGACTCGCTACTGATTTCGAAACGTGTAATTCTGCCTAATGGTTCCAGATCTATTGTTGGTGATGAGATGATGTCACTGCTGGTAAGCTCACCGTTGGACAGGCAGAGTATGTACACCTGGCAGCCTTGGCGCTGCGTCAGCGAGTAGATCAGCGGTCCGAAGAACATGCACTCGTCATCCGGATGGGCGGTGATGAGCAGGACGCGCTCCATGTGCGCCGTCTTGGGCAGCCGGACGCTACGCAGCCGCAGTCCAGATTGTAGGGCCTGCTTTAGGCCGCCAGGACTGGGATTTCCATCCGGATTTGGATTCAGTACGTCCTCCTCGCCCGACTCGGCATTGTTGCTGTCGTTTGTGTTGTGTGCTCCCGGTCCGGATGCGGTCGCCGATTCCGAGAGCCAGAAGGTGAGCTTGTAGAGGCCCAGGCATACTAGCAAGTACACCGCACAGGCGATCAGTACGTGCTCCAGTGCTTCGGCGGATGAGGACCTGATACGGCAGTAGATGGCCTGCGGATTGGGGACGAGCTGCTGCACCTGCTGCTGCAGTTGGCGCCACGGAGAGGTCGATGCAATGCTGCTTGATATGCTGGCCACGTACTCGCTCAGCCAGTTAAATCTCATCTCTCATTGCGTCCGGCCAAGGGCGAGAATTTTGGCGAGAAATTCTTCACCAAAAATGGACATGCAGCGCTTTTTGGCAGCGAGGAAAAGCGGAAAAGCGGCGATAACGGTGCTCGGGCTGATACCTAAACTATGTCACTAAGTGGAGGTGTTGCTTAATCGGTAGTTTAATACTTGAAAACGTCTGGTTACGAGCCCGCGCGCCGCTTAATCGGCTAATCTCAGCATTTTATTTAGAAAACTACGTGTTTTTCGCCTTTCGGGGGCAGCAGCTAGAGATGGGCGGCTGGCGTGGTGCGTGGCAGGTGCGTGACTCACGCCGATACGTCTGGTTTTTTGCTCCGCGTTTTATTGACGTGGTCAGGTGCGCAGTGCATCTATAAGGGTGCAATTATCAAATTAGCACTTGAATAAATTGATAAACACTCTTCTGTCATTCATCGTTTGCTCGGAAGTTTAGTGTCGTGAGTCGGGTTTGGTCCATCTCTAGCGGTCAGCTGTTCGACAAAGTGCTTCTTAGCAGGGGTACTCTTGTCGCTTTTTGGAAACCATTGAAGCTTTTGAGACACTAAATGGTTACTAATTAGATCATTTAAATTTAAATTATACAACGTAACTAAAATAATTAACAAACAAATGATTTAGTGAAATATATATTCTATTCCAAGCACTGAAAACTTTTATTAAGAATTTTAATAGGAAAACTATTTTTAAAGTGAGGTTAATAAGTTATAGCAAGGAAAAGTTTATTTATTAAAACATTTTTGGATTAAAATTAAAAAGTCTAGTAATATATTAATATTCAGTTATTTATTCCCATTTGCAAAATCACTGCAAAATGTGTGAGCACCCCTAATGCTGGCACGCGCCCCCTGAAAAATACCAATTAAATACCCCCAAAAATACCGCAGGCCGCTCTCTCCTCTCCAAAATATGCAGTCTGAGGTTTTTTTATTTTGAATCAAATTTAAAGTCACTAATTTCTATGAAATTAAGCATTTAACTAGCCTTTGACCGAGTGATTCGAGTGCCCCAGAGCCAGCCGCCCGCCCCCCGACCGCCTAAGCAACGCGGGCAACCCAACGAGAGCCCCAAAAGATCGGAAGAAGTTAATCGGAAGACGGCGTGCCGCAAACCACAGAAGAGAGCGAGGTGCATGCAGCACGTTGTAATTAGGTTAGCCATACAGCAGCACCACATAACATCATAACATGGCACAGCAGCAGGGCATGGACTCGGCCTTGTTCGAGCGGCGACTGCGGCCGGTCTACGGTGAGTGCTTCCCTGGAATGGATATGCTAATTAGGCCACCGGCTAACCCCAATCGCACCGTCGATCCTCCACAGACAATCTGGAGGTTGGCAACAACCGCAAGGCCCTGCAGGAGTCCGAGAAGCTGCTGCGCAAACATCCCACCCTGCTCTGCGCCCGTGCCCTGAAAGGACTATCCCTCCTCCGGCTGGGACGGTACGACGAGAGCCACGGATGCCTCCAGACCGTAGCCGAGGAGAAGCCCACGGATGACTCCACGCTGCAGGTGCTATCCTTCTGCTACCGCGAAATGGAACAACGTACGTATGGAACAGGGATTAAGACATCACAGCCTATTGGGAACGTAGTAGAATTGAATCAAAAGTTTTGAGTCAGACTTTTGCCAGGATGATTCAGTGATTAATAAAACTAAGAAATGTAGGTTCCGGGTAGGACAAGTTAAATGGAAACTACACATCAAATATTAGGGTCAATGTTATCACACCTAACTAACCTAACGATCTAAGGACAAGGTAGAAGACATCTTATCTTATGTATCCCAGTATAGACAAATGTGAGCCAAGATAAGAAAAGAACTTCTGCATTAGATATGAGTTTAGCCCTGCAAGAATAATAGTTGATAAGGTGTAGTGATGAAGAAGATAAACTGGAACCATCAACTACAAGCCACTATTTCGGCAAAGATAAATTGATCTTTTTAACCAGGATCATATCTCTTTATTTTTAAATTTCATAAGTTTAAAACTTGTTATGAAAGGATATATATTAAATAGTGTGTTTATTCAATAAATTTGTAAATATCCATAAGATTTCAATGGGTTAAATAAGAAATCTATTAGAGCTAAATCAAAATACAAAAAAAAAATGTTTTTGCTAAGAAAGTTTAAAAATGTTGAGGTTTGAACTTAATTTTATTCTTTCTGTAAATTAAAATGTAAGCTAAAGTAATTTAGTGATTTTAGTGATTTATTCTTATCCGATTAAAATTTTAATTAGCCGTCAAGTAATTAAAATACTGTGTCAGATCAAAGGTTAAAATTCTATTAGCGTACAAAGTTCGATTTTTTTTATGAAAATCGTCTGGATCCGCACATCTACTTTTTCCCACATCCGCCACATGGTAGCCACTAAGTTTATCCCCCAGAGACGCCCCTGGCACGCACACGAAGTGCCCACAATTCATATTTTCGTATTTTCTTGGCACGCGCACCTCGCCCGACTAATTAAAATCGCATTCTCTTAGTCGGACGACGGGCGGCAAGTGCGTGCCAACGATTTGAATATATAGATACCTGTACCTGCAAAAGCAATAGCTAATTATATATAAATATCCGCCTCTTTGCAGTGGACAAAATTGTGGAGCTGTACCAGCACGCGGTGAAGCAGAATCCGGGCAACGAGGAGCTGCTCGCCCACCTCTTCATCTCGCATGTGCGGGTGGAAGACTACAAGGCGCAGCAGGCGGTGGCCCTGCAACTCTACAAGGCTCAGCCGAAGAATGCCTACTACTTTTGGTCCGTGATCAGCGTAGTCTTCCAGGGAATTCGGGGTCCGGAGTCGGCGCTGCCCGAGAAGCGGAAAATCTATCTGGGACTGGCGCAGCGCATGGTCGACAAGCACATCAAGGAGGGCAAGTTGGAGACGGAGCAGGAAGCCTTCCTCTATCTGCACATCCTCAAGCTACAAAACAAGTACCAGGAGGCGTGGGAATTTCTCACTGGCGAGCTGTGCGCCAAGCTCTATCCGGGTGCTCCAGTCAGCATGAAGTTCGAGCTGCTCAAGGAACTGGGTAACTGGCGGGAACTGAATGAGCTGTTGCAGCAGCTCCTTGACGCAGAGTGAGTTCCTTAAGTCATGAGATAAGAACATATTTGACAGTTCTTTACTTTTTTCAGTCGGGATCGGTGGGACTTTTACAAGGAGTACATCCAAAGTTCGTTCGAGTTGCTTAAACTTTCCCCTCAAACTGAAGAGAACGGGGAAAAGGATTCATTGGCCAGATGTCAGGAATTCCTCCAGGGCATCATAGATTCCTCGGAGCGAAAGAAACGGGGTCCCTATCTGGCGCGTTTAGAGCTCCACCAGCGCATGCGAGCAGACCAACTGCCAGCGGAAAAGCTCATCGGTGACTTTGACGAAATGGTCATAGAGTACTTCCGTCTGTTTGGCGACAAATCATGCTGCACCCATGATATCGCCTTGTTCTTGCCTTCGATTAGCATGAAGCAGCGACAGGCACTGGCCAGCAAGCTGCTGCTGGAAAGCGGAGTCACCTCCACGTCGCTTCCGAAGAATGTAAGTAAAGAGAAGCTTTCAGGTGTTACCTTTGAATTTAATGGTTTATACGAAATCCCCACAGAAAGAGCAGTTGCAGAAGCATCTGTGTGCTCTGCAAATCTCTCGGATGTGCGGTTCTCACATGGAGCTGCCCGTGGACCATCTGCTTGCCTTCTATACGAACCTCAAGCTGCACTACGAGCACGGCCGCAGTACTTTCGGCAAGAAGCTGCTGGCCACGGAGATGGGACCATCGGATGCATACGCCTTGCTGGCAGCAAATGTGATGTACGACCTGAGTAGACGAGAAAATAAGTCGGATCACCTGTTCGAGGCGCTGTGCTTGCTGCAGTACGTGCTGCGAAACAGTACGAGTAACTTCCACGTGAAACTGCTGAGTCTGAAGATCTACCATCTGTTCGGCTGCCAGGTGGGTGCCCAGGAGATGTATGAGTACCTGGACATCAAGCAGATCCAGCTGGACTCGATGGGCTATGTGCACTGCCAGCTGCTGCCCCTGGGCGGTCGCTTCTCGGGTACCCGGAATGTATACGATGCCACTCTGAAGTTCTTCACCAACAGCTACAAGGAGCGGTTAGAGTACATTGCTTTGACCTATCGCTTCTGCACGTTTTCCAAGATGGAGGAGTTCATGAACTTTAAGGAGCGGTTGACCAATAGCTTGCAATACGTGGCCTGTTCAGTGGAGGCGCAGATTTGCGACCTGGTCAGTTGTTATGGCAATATCCAACAGAATCTGACGGCATATGCCGCCATGAGCATTGAGCCGGCGGAGGATCGGATTGCCTGGCATGAGTTGAGCGACAATCGTGACTTGGAGGCCGTTATCCGCTGGGATCCACTGCACGAGGTTAATGCTGCGGAGGAGCGCAAGGAGTCCTTCGACCAGGAGGTTGAGGTTCTTCAAGTGCGCTCGCTGATGCTCCGACTGTTTGCCTCTTTTGTTGACCTGTATCACGGCCCCAGCTCGAAAGAATCGCCAGCGGGCGAGGAAGCTGCCACCCTGGAACTTCTGCGGGAGTCCTGGACGGGATTATTCCAGCGATTGCGTCTCATGAACTACAAGCCGTTGGCGCAAAAGTTTCTAGTCAACCTGCTGCCCACACGCCTTCACCTGCTGCTCGATCTGCCATACGAACGATTCTTTGACGACCTGGCCCAGTTGGTCCTGGACCTGCAAAGCGGATCTGGAAAACTGGCCGAGCAGTGCAAGCGGGTGGGTGACAACGTCATTACGGTAATGGAGCTGTGCGTGCAGACCATCAATGAGAGCAACGAGTGGAATGGCATGGATGGTCTTTGGAAGCGACGGGGGCAGCAGCAGAAAGTGGCTGCCAGCCTAGAGGTGAGTTCAAGTTATAACATCAATGCAACCTTTTATTAAATAAACCATTGCTATTCCAGATGTTATCCCTCTATGCCTTCCTGCTGTCCGTGCTAAACGACAAGCTGCAGGTCAGCTCAAAGGCCAAGACCAAGAAGAGGCCGGTGGACAACAAGGTGGATGGACCCCAACCGATTAGCGAGAAGGAGCGAAGTCAGATGCTGCAGGAGCTGATGCGACAGCTTAAGCACAAGCTAGAGGCCTGCGATGCGGCCATACGTAAGTAACTCTAGAAAGTGTCCTGAGATGAATTACATCTGACTTCCTTCCTTAATCCTCAGGCACCTGGAAGGCGCCAGTGCTGCCGCGCGACCTCAGCTCCTTCATGTCCGACATGTCGCTGAAGCCAGAGGTGGAGGCCACGCTCATCGGCGACGTCTCGGCCACCTTCAAGGACTCCCACGAGCTGATGGTCACCGAGCTACGCAATCTACTAAAGGACAAAATACGCATGGTAGCCAAGTAGATGCCTCTTTGCTGTGCAAAGGCCATCAGCCAGTCCGGCCATCGTTGCCCCAATCACGATCCAAGTTCATAGTTTGTTATTTAATTTTGTTAACGAATACAACCGACCTCCTACTCCAACTGCACTACAATTATCTCGAACTAAAGAGCCAAGTCAGCACTTTTCAATCAATTTTCGGCATTTCCCTCGTACAACAAATAAGAAGTTGTAAAATTTGTGAAACAAAAATTAAAAAAAGGACAAAACAAAGAAAAAAGATTGCGTACCGCTTGCAAGTAAGTTAAATAAAAGAAGAAATTGTAAAAAATGTACAACAACACAGTGTTTTTATTTCATTTGTATTATCAAATATACATAGAATCAAATTATTGCACACTTTGAAGATTAACTACTTCTAAAAACTCTATTTCGGTGTCAAACTTATATATACACTTTTGTTATAGGTGTGTCTTTGAGGAAGCTTTTTACTCTTATGTTCTATCAGTATTATTCGAAAGAGGTAAAACGTCCTAAACATCAGTTGCAGTACTTCCCATTTTGAAGGTGCTCAGATAGGCTGGTAGTCGTGGATCATTTAGATGCTGTTGAGTCTGCAGATGGGCCACCAGATTGTGCATGCGGGCAAAGGTCTTGCTGCAGAGTCGACATCTAATGAAATAGAAAGAAACTGGTTGGTAACAGGAAGAGATTAGTTGAAATTTAGAGTGATTTACGTGTGAGGTCTTTCTCCTGTGTGTGTTTTATAGTGCATTTTTAGGACACTAGCATAGGTAAATGTTTTTCCACAGGTTTTACAGCCATAGGGACGCTCATTTCGATGAGTTCTGTAGGGGATATATAAATATATGAGTATCAAGTGATGGGGAATTTTTAATAAATGATCTGGTTACTTTTACCTTTCATGCTTCACAAGGGAAGTGCGATCAGCGAAGGTGCGATGGCAATATTGGCAGGTGTATGGTCTGGCCCCCGTGTGCTGGCGGATGTGGCGCTTCAACTGGTAGTTGACGTGGAAGCTCTGGTGACAGATCCTTAAAATAAGCTTATTATATAGTATGCACTTATACAGAAAACTGGGGTATCCACACACTCGCATTCGTAGGGTCGCTCATTGTTGTGCCTTCGCATGTGGCTATCCAGGGTACTCTTCCTGGGATATCCATTGCCACAAATCTCGCACACATGGAGTTTGGGGGTGACTGCAGAAGGAGTTGGGAAAGAAGGCAGAACTGGAGCTGGAAGCAGTTGCACGGCCAGAACCATGGGCTTCTCCTTCTCCGCAAGTAGAGGTTGTGGTGTTTCCTCGATCAAATCTTCGGCAGACCAAGCTCCCTCTTCGAGCACCTCCACCTCCAGTTGTTCGAATTGCTCCGATGCCGCAGGTGGAGGAGGAGTGGGATCCGGAGTATTAACCACTTGCTCCACTGCATCCTTTTCCGCTTCCTCCACTCCATCATTTTCCATTTCCTCTACTCCGTTCTTTTCCACTTCGCCCATTGAATCCTTTGCCACTGCATCCTTTACCACATATTCCCTCAGAAACTCATTGGAGCGCTGACAAATCTGTCGGAATTTGTGGGCCAGGGTTAGGAATGCTTTGCATCTGAGGCATATCCTGGTGGGAAGGACCTCCTCTTCCGTGGGCTTTATCTGCAGGTTAAGATTCGGTTTTACTTATGAATATCTCGGCTAATAAAACGTTCCCCACCTGAATTCCACTCAAACTTTCAATTTTCTCGCACAGGGAAATTCCACCGCGCAGCTTATCATCACCTTCCTCGTAAATGGACACCATGTGGGCCTCGCCATCCTGCAGGCAGGTCCTGCACAAGGTCAGCATGTCCAATCTTAGCTCCATTTAAAATCAAACAAATGTCCTGTCCAAAATTAACGATCAAAATAACACTGCTTCTTCTTTGCTATATCGCCATTCTTCGATATTTATCGACAGGCTCTTTGCCATTCGCCCCGAAGCCGCACAAATTTTAATTGTTTGTTTTGGTCAGAAAATACTACTGTTTACTTGTGATAACAGAAGGTTGCATCCCGAAATGGAGAGTAAGGACCTGCAATGTCGCATCTGCTGGCTGACGCCGAAGGACGAGTCCCTCATGCCCACAGAGATGGATTTTCTGGATCAAATCAAACGCTGCACGGGGGTTGAGGTGGGTTTCAAATGAGTCTGTTATGTTTCATCTTTGTCCAGTAAATGCGGGTTTTCTTATCCCCAGCTGAGTGAAAGTTCCAACTGGCCCAATCGCATTTGCACCAGCTGCGCCTTGCTCCTCAGGGCGGCGCTCAAGCTGCAATCCCTTTGCCAGGAGGCGGAGAAGAAGCTACAGGAGCTGGCGGAGAAGGAGGTGCAGGCGCTGGCGGAGAAGGAGATGCTGGAGCTGCTGGAGAACGACCTACATGAGCAGGCGGAGACGGAGCTGCGGGAGTTTCACATACAGATTGTTCCCGAAGACCGGGAGAGTGCCTCCAAAGATCTGCGCAGCGACAGCGAGGTGGAATACGAGTACCTGGAGTCCTACGATGTGACGCTGGAATGCAGCGAAGATGCAGCCTGTAGTGCCGATGAGATGGTCAGCATAGAGCCGGCTAACTCCGCGCCAGAGGAATCTGTCTATTCACTGAGTCCCAAACCGGAAGCGGGAGAAGAAGATGACTCCGGCCAGGATCCCTCCTTTGCCTGCACAAGATGCCACAAAGTCTTCTCGGAGCTGGTCAAGTTGAACACCCACATGAAAGTCCACCTTACAGAGAAGCCACACGAGTGCGAGTAAGTTGGGATAGAGATTACTTTTCTTCCGAATCCATTTGAAAATCCTTTCCTTGAAGAATATGCCATAAGCGATTCCGACAGACTCCACAGCTGACGAGGCACATGAACACGCACACCGGCAATCGACCCTACAAATGTGATTACTGCGACTCACGGTTCGCAGATCCATCCACGCGCATCAAGCATCAGAGGTGAGGATAACTATTGTTAAATAAATTACAAAGTGTAATCCAATCTCAACCGAAATAACTTTTTAGGATCCACACCAATGAACGACCGTACAAATGCAAGTTCTGCAGCAAGTCCTTCGCCTACTCCAACGTCCTACGGGTTCATCTGAAGACCCACACGGGAGAGCGTCCCTTCAGCTGCCAGTACTGCCAGAAGACCTTCTCCCAACTGCACCACAAAAACGCCCATGAAAAATCGCACAAGCATACAAAAGAAGGGGAAACATGGGAGTGACCTGAGCGAAACATTTAGTACAAATGAATCAACATTTTCTTTGACATCTTTGTTTTTAAGAGATTTTAAAACTAACCACAAATTGTAATTATATGAAAGGAAACCTCTCATTAAATTTGTAAGTAAAATAAAACAATTGCATAATTAATAAGACAAAAATAGTACCCTATTTTTTATTAAAAGTAATATTTTAAGTAGTTAAGAATGTACTATACACATAAAAAATGTCACCATTTTACTATTCAACGTGAAAACTCGGCTTTTAAAAGTAATTCCAAGCTTACACTGTTTAATGGAAGAGCTATAACAATGGCATTCAATCCTAAATCTAAAGTGTCTTATCCATATCAACATAAAGAAAATGCCCTTATTTGGTTAAGTATCCTGGGGGTAGTTAGCTGAGAAATTCCGGCGCCTCCTCCTTGACTGCTTCTCCCTCGGGGCTGATCTCCACATCAGGTCTAAATTGACCGCGTCTCTCGTGCGTTCCACGATGCAATCGCATCTTGTAGGCCTTCACAAAGCCCTTGCCGCAAAGATCACAGCTGCAAGGGGATGGTGGTTATTCAGGGAATTACTTTTAATTCAGGTAAATACTAACACATGCGGCTTCTCGCCCGTGTGAATCATCTTATGGAACTTCAGATTGTCCGAGTAGGTAAAGGTTCTAGAGCAAACATCGCACTCGTAGGGACGCTCCTTGGTGTGAATTCTGGCGTAGATTCATATTTTGTTAGATTTATTTAAATTGAAGATGTGTCACTTACCTATGATGTTTGGTTTTGGTGGATCTGTCGGCGAAGGCAGCTGGACAGTAGTTGCATTTGTAGGGACGGTTTCCGGTGTGCGTATTCATATGGCGCACCAGCTGCTGGTTCTGGACAAAGCCTCGTCCGCAGATCCTGCAAGAAATACATTGTTATAACCCTACTCTTACTATTTATATCACATTTCAGACTCACTCGCACTCGTGCGGCTTTACGCCGGAATGAAACTTCATGTGCTCCGTGAGACGGGCCTGAGTGGGATAGATGTTTCCGCACACGTCGCAGATGTAGGGGGTCAGCTTGTTGCGTGGCTTTCTGCCCAGCTTCTTTTTAGCGGGTTCATCCTCTGGGCTGTTTTTACGGACTGGAGCTAGCTTTCTGCTCGATCGCTTGCGACTTGACGACTTTGTAGGCGCTGGCTTGCCCTCGGGGACATAACTTTCATCGGAGCTGAGTATGTCTTCGGTCAAGTCGTCATAGGGACATCCTTCTGTTGCCAGCTTTGTAAGGCTAGAGGGATTTTCCTGGCTGATTTCAGTCGAGTTCTCGCTGGTGAGCAATTCATACTCCTCGTACACTGCATCCCCCTCCTCAATCACATTCTGCTCCCCATCAAAGACCGCTTGGTCGGGATCCTCCTCATCAAACATAATAGTATCGCCACCATCGGCAACCTCCATAACATAAGTGATAACCTGCTGCTGCTGTTGCTCCTCCGGTTGGAAATCACTCTCCTCCACCTTGAAACCGCCATCCATCTGGCTGGCGTCCTCCTCCCAAGTCTTGACCACGCTCTCCACCGTCAGGTCGTCCGAGAGGTTAAGCATATCATCGTCGCCGGCGGCACTGGAATTACTGGCCTCCCGGAGTAGCATGTCCATGATGTGCTGGTGGGATCGCTGGCAGGTCAGACGGAACTTGTAGCACAGCCGCAGGCAGCGCACGCACTTGCTGCACATCTTGTCCGGGAATTTGTCGTCCAGGCTGACCTGTGGGATGAAGAGGAGGTACTTAAAAACGCCACTTTAGCCTGGGATTCCTACTTACGGGGATGCCTGCGCATATGTGAAGCATTTGGTCCAGGCGAGTGCTGGCTGTCTGGCTGAATATCTCGTGGAGCGGGTCTTCGCCTTCGCCGGGATTGTTCAGGCAGACGCGGCACACCACCCACTTCTCGTTGGACTCCGTTTTCATGGCCAAATCACTGTATTTATTATTATTCAGATGCAGTTTCGGTCCTTGCAAATAAATTACAAACAGCTGAATGCAAGCGTCCGCCGCAGGCCATTCACAGCGAAACGCGGTCTTCTCAGTTGATACAGTGAATATCGGAAAAGAACGGAAGTGCAATAACATTATAAATAAAATGCTTAGGGGGAAAAAAATTACTTAAGAATCTTTAAGACCGGGAAAAATTTAAAAACTTTAATTTAAGAACTTGCCTTCAAAGGCTTTAAACTAAAGATATAGCATAAACATAAACTAAACATATAGCAAGTAAGGAGTGTGTTAAAACTTATCACCTAGTTGAGTGTTTTTAATAGTTCACTAATAGTTTAATTTGTTATCTTTTAGTTTAGTGTTTTTATATGATTAAAAAAATTAATTATGGTTATAACTTAAGAGCAATTAATAACACACCAACTTTAACAGAGTAAACACTTTTAAATTTTATTAGCCTACTAGAGTGGACTGTTTTCTTTAAAGTTTAAGGATGCGTAGTATATTAACAAAATGGAAATAAATATTAAATGATATTCATCTCTGATGCATTTAGAAACCATATTTATTTATATCTCTATTTACCTTTTGAACGAAACACCCCTAACGCGAGAGCCGCCAATGCCGTGGTCACCCTGTGCAGCCGCCATTCGCGTTGCAACGCCACCATCTTGGCTCCAGACTACAATATATTTTTTTGGCGTCGTCTTCATCCAGCGAGCGTGTTCATCGAAATATACAAGCGGATCGTAGCTACTTGGAATAGATCTACCCTCTATTCGCGACAATGAGAGACTCGGCGGCACAAGCGAGTCCGGCGGCGGCGCCTGCGACCACGCAGAAGTGGATCGTCTGCCGGGTTTGCCTGCAGCAGCCAAAGGAGCCCATGGCCAGCATTTTCAACGACGATTCCGAGAAGGACCTGACCAACATGATCCGCGAGTGCGGCGGAGTGCCCGTAAGTGTGTCCCAATATTCCGTAAACTGTTTTTATCCATTTTATCCCCATGGCAGATCAAGCAGTTCGATCACTATCCGGATAAGATATGCGAGAAGTGCTTCAGGGTGCTGAAGATGGCATTCAAGTTCCGGGAGACCTGCCAGCGTTCCTACGGCCATCTGCGGCAGTTCGTGGGCCCCGTGGAGGTGGAGCAGCGAACGCCGGAGAAGAAACTGGAAGAGCAAGCCCCCAAACTGGAGCAGGAATCCGAGGAGGCCGAGCAGCAGCAGCAGGACCACGACGAGGAAGAGGAGGAGGAGGACCTGGACGAGAGCCAGTACGCCGAGGGCGAGGCGGAGGAGTCCGCGGAGGCCCAGGGTGGCGTCTTCCACGACGACATGGAGGAGGGCATAATCGTGGAACTGGAAAAGGATCGCATTGTGCATGTCAAGAGCGAGCAGGTGGAGGAGGACGGCATCATCGAGGAGGTGTACGACGTGTACGAGACCTACGAGGGCGACATTCTCGCCGAGCAGGGCGGCTACGACCAGGAAATGGCCGATCAATCCCTATCCGAACTATCAGCGGACATCGAATACTTGGAGCAGGTTGATCAGGATCAGTTGACCGAAAGTGCCCACGAGGACGACGCGGATGGAGATATGAACTCCACCGAGGAGGAGTTCCTGCCCACCAAAAGTGTTCGAGCATCCATCAATGCCAGAGGAGCCACCAAGCGGAGAGCGAATCCCCGCAGATCAGCCACATCAACTGCTTCGGTGGCTGCTGCATCGGGAACCTCCAAGTCAACCGTCCGCGCAAATCTGCTCAAAGTCCGGCGAACTAACAATGATGCGGCCACAACCAAGATCGTCATCAACTCCGACGAGGGCGTATCCATTGGCGAGGTGCTGGCGCGGAAGCATTCCGGAATCAAAACCAAGGGTGGCCATAAGATACTCGTCGGCGACAAGAAGGAGTTCAAGTACATCTGCGATGTGTGCGGGAATATGTATCCCTCCCAGAGTCGTCTCACTGAGCACATCAAGGTCCACTCAGGTGTAAAGCCGCACGAATGCGAGTAAGTCTACATATTATTCGTCAGTCTATGTGTCAGCTAAAGATGCTAGAGAAAAATCATTATAAATTCAGAATGGTTTCTTATATTTCCGATTCCCGTTTTCGTAGAATTTATTATTCCTTAAAACATTCTTTTCCGATTTTTATTGTTCTACCTAAACTCAAATATTAGATGTGTCATCTTAAGAAAGTGTCCTCAATTGATCTTTATAGTAGCCTGAGAATTGTACACGTTACTTTTTTCCTAAGATTATTTTTTCCAAGTAAGCCAATCTTAAGCTAAATTTTTTTGTTTTCAGAATCTGTGGGCACTGCTTCGCTCAGGCCCAGCAATTGGCCCGTCACATGAACACCCACACTGGAAATCGGCCGTACAAGTGCAGCTACTGCCCGGCAGCCTTTGCGGACCTGTCCACTCGAAACAAGCACCACAGGTTAGTTGATTAGCCCGTATCAACTCTGGATGTGATTCTAATAAAATTCCCCTACAGGATCCACACCAACGAGCGTCCCTACGAGTGCGATGTGTGCCACAAAACATTTACGTACACCAACACCTTGAAGTTCCACAAGATGATTCATACGGGAGAGAAGCCACATGTGTAAGTACTGATTTCCCCTCGTAAATACAGTGTAACTTCTTTAGCACGAACTTTCACTATTTGAGACTCTGTGTTCAACTTATTTCCAATAATATAGGGATCCCTAATTCCTGAACACTAGAATTGATAACTCTGTGTAGATATATAATTATAATGCAGGAATTTAGAACAAGTTATATTAGCAGAGTACCTATTTTATAGCTTTTAAATTTCAGTTCAGTAATCGATCTAAGGAAGAGTTGTATTTTTTGAACAATAATAATATAGTTTATTAAAATAGATTTTTTAAATGCATTATTTTAGTTCTATAAAAATGTTAGGCCTTACAGTGTTAGTATTAATGAAAGAGCTAAGCTATTTCACAATATGTATTTCCTATGATAATTACGTAACATTTAGCGTTCCATTGATGGTTTATTAAGTGGCAAAGAGATATTGAACTAAAGTAAAAGTATAATATAGATAAGATAATCCGTACACATGTCTTTTAAATTATACACAGATCATCAGGAGCTCACAGTTCCTTAAAACCACTCCCCATTAATTTATCAAATTTCCCCTTTTATTTCAGTTGCGAAGTATGCGGCAAGGGCTTCCCGCAGGCGTACAAACTGCGTAACCACCGGATCATCCACGAGCGACGCGGTCAATCCACACGCGAAGCCGTGGGCGGTCTGCTGCCCTACGACTCGGCCAACATTGTGGGCCTGGAGATGTAAACTTCTAGCGAGGACTCCTCGTCGTCCCAAAGCGACACTCTAAACATTAAACAGACACACGCGTGTAATTACACATCTAAGTATATTGATGAAATTTAAGCCTAGCCTAATTATGCGGAAATAAATTAAGTATAGCTGCGCAGATGGTCTTGGCGTCGGTCTCCTCAGGATAGAGCTGCAGCACGGCGTGCACTTGGTGCGGCGGAAACAGGCTGCCCAGGTGATATCGGAGCAATCGGCGCTGCTCCTCCCGTGGCAGTTGCTGCGAGGCGTGCAGCTCCTCGTTGATGCGCGAATCGGAGGCGGACAGATGGGCGAAGTTGTGAGCGGGCAGTGGCAGACCCAATCCCTGATCCGTGACCGGGGCGGATGGCGTGCGCGTCAGATACTGGTGGTGATAGTTAGAGCTGGAGTTGGACTGTTGATGCTGCTGCTGCACCTGCTGCTGTTGCTGCAGGGGAGCGCTGTAGGTGGGCACCAGGAGGCGATAGGCGGGCGGCGGCTGTTGGCGCTGCAGCTTCTTGTGGCGGTTGGGCTGGCTGGACTCCATGGAGCCCTCCGAAAGCTCCATTTGAGCGGAGAAGCCCTGGCACACCTGCTCGATGGTATTGGACTTAGTGCGACCCAATGGCTCCCGGCTAATCAGTGAGTTGATCTTAACATTGTTGTTATTGCCACCCGGACTGATCATCTGCTGGCCCCCGTTCGTGTGCAGCGGAGCACTGTGCGAGGCCTGGAGTGGCAGACGCTGCAGCAGCGGACCCGGATGATGCCGAAACTTGCACTTCTGCCCATAGGTGCACTTCTTGCCATACGGGCACAACTGCTGGGCATCCGCCATCTTCTGCTGCGTCTGCGAGCACAGGAACAGATCGAGATTAGGACCTGATCTGCCCAGCGGATCATCGGGTGGCATGAAGATGTCATTGACAAACGAGTACATCAACAAGCGTTCCTGCACCACGCGCCGGAACTCGTTGCTCTCCAGGATCAGATCCCTGTAATTGTCGTTGGACACCACAATGCCATCGGTTTCCACGGCCAACTTGAGTATGAAACGGTCATCGTAGCAGGACACCCGCTTGCCGTCCAGATGCCGCGATGGCGTGAACACCAAGAACCTTTCGTGTTCCAGTTCGTAGAGCAGCTCCTGGTCGGCGATGTTGTTGTTGGCCATCTCCTTGCGCCAATTGGGCACAAAGGCGGTGATGTCGCGATGCCCTCGCTGCCGGAACCAGTCCACACAGATGCGGATGCCGCGGCAGGAGAAGATCAGGTTGTTGCCGTGCGACAGGGCAACATTGCTGCCATCGATGACGATGTGTCGCAGGCCAGAGATGCTGCTGCTGCCGACGGTGGTGGTGGCGGAGGAGGAGATGGTGGCTGGATTACCAGCGCCTACGGTGTGGGCGGGTCGTGGTGCATCCGCCGTCAGCTTGATCAGCTCCGCCAGCAGCTCGTTCTGCTTGGCCTCCGAGCCCAGACGCGTCAACGCCGAATGGATGGACTGTTCGCTGTAGCCCAGCTTCTTGGCGAACTCCAGGTTCTGGCGCTCCGTCGTCCGGCTGGGACTCTCATCGTCGTCGGAGCAGCTCTCCTGCTTTCTCACTGGCAACTTGTTGCTGCTGCCGTGATGTTGTTGCTGCTGGTGCTGCTGTTGCTGTTGTTGTTGCTGCTGTGGCTGATGTTTTTGCTGCTCCTGCACTTCACAATTCATTTTGATGCGCATTTAAGTGACCAGCGGCTGGCTTTCCTTCGGCTGCTCGCTTCTGGTGTCTCGGGACTCCAATTCGTTGGGTTTTTAGCTGTCTCTGCAGCAAGTTCCGTCTATTTACATTTACAGACTTCCGTGTTGTTGTTGTTTTTGTTGGTGCTTGCTGGTGGGCAGTGTGACCGCAGTGTGAGCTCTCAGAAATACCACGCTGCTGCGCCACCAAACGCTGGTCACATTGCGATTTTTTAAAATTTTGTGCTCTTTTTAAAAATATGAAAATTTTATGGTACTAATAATATTAAGCTTAGGGCTTGCTTATTTAAAAAAAACACACAGTTAGTACCAATATTTTTTAACATAAATCTTTAACATCTTCAAACTATTCCTAAATTGTTGCTCTTAATATATTATAAGAAACAATTTTTAGTCTTAACAAGTTAAAACCAAACAACATTTTCAAATATAAAATTTTTTAATTTATTAAAAGAAAAAATTTAAAAACTTAAAAAAATAAAACAAATAACATATTCAAGCCTATAATTATAAAAATTTTACTGAGATCCTTTTTACTTAATATATAAACCAAATCGATATTTATTAAAAGAAACGTTTTTAGTTTAGACACATTTTTAAACCAATTTTTTCTATAAAAAATGTTATTGAAATCAATTTTATTAAATGTATACTATTTAACCTTTCATGTTATTATAACAATAACACTACTAATCAAAACATACTTAAGGAGAATAACTCTCATAAAATCCATCAAACAATATAACCCATACGCCTTGTAGGCTAGTTGAAATCAACTACTTTTTAATGGCAAAAAATTTGACTCCCCTTTTTAAGTAACCAAACTTTTGAACTGATCATTAATGACGAGTTCCAAATTAACTAATCCAAGTAAAAAACGAGACATTTTAAATATATATTTCCGTATTTATTTGCTAATATTCAAAGAAACAATATTATTTCAGATGTTCGAATAAAATCCCAGTTTGAGTTCAATAACACGCATAAACATTTCTTTATTGTTGTACATAAAGTATATATATCGTATATAGTTTTAACAATTTTCACACTACTATATTAACATTTATAGATCTCACTTAGTTAGATTTAATTAGTTAAAATAAAGTACACGTTTTTTTCGTATTGAATTCTTTGTTTCATTGTACGTTTGGTCCCCCTTTTCATGACAAAAAAGGATGCACTGCCCTCGAATTAGCTACAAATTCAATAGTTTACTAGGTATAAGTGGTCACATCTATCTTGGTTACATAGATATCTATATGCTACGCCCGAAGTGCAATTGGATAAATGCATATACAATACACAATACGTCCCATCCAGCGACACTAAAGTAATTTCATTAATTTCGTTTCGTCCTGGAGCGTCCTTTCATCTTTGGTCAAGTCATGTGGCAATTAGTGAGACAGCCATACATAAAGAAAAAACTATAAAACCGGACGTAAAGTTGACTACGTGTGCTATGGGAGGTTTTTTTTGGGTGGTTGTGTATCTGAGTCCGCTTAAAAAGTAACGAGTCATTCTTTTCGCACGCAGCGAAAGTGAGTTTCCCTTCAAAGGATAAAGGATAAGGATGCATTTTAAGTTGCGAGCCTTAACCCTTGCCCCCCGAAACCCAATTTTTTCCTAACTCAGACACACGACAGTGCTAAAATTTGTGCTCTGCGTGTTCTAGCAATCTTTCCTTTTTTATTATGGACGTCGTAAAATTTATTGTTGCTCTTTGAGCGTGTCTGGGTTTTTATGCTGGGATTTTTCTTGCTTAACGGGTAATTAGTAAAGTTTTTTCCTTTCCATATTCCGCTTTCCATGGCTATTGTTGATGATAAACTATTAAAGTACATTTCGGTGGTTGAGTGTCAAGTTAACTTTTGTGTTCGGTTTGTGGTCAAAGTTTTGTGTTGTGAAAAGTAGGGATTTATTCAAAGGGTTCAAAAAATGTGTTCTATGAATAAGACATGAGAAACTTAAGCTGCTTGAAAGGGTTAACAAGAACTTTAACAAATTCTTCTATATCAACTTTGAAAACAAAAGAGCAAAAAGAGCAGTAAAATTATATGACAGGAGCAATTCGCCAAATATATGAGTAACCATCCTAATAAAAATACATTTTCCAGACTTCACTTTAACTGAAGCGTTCTTTCATCATAAATCCTTCAACCTAAAATCGTCTCAGAGTTAATTTTCCATGTCAATAGACCCATTTGGTCATAAGTAATTCGTCTGGCTTTGCCCTAAGAGCCTTGTAGCCGCAGGATCTGAGAGGACTCGGTCTCCACGTGGTTGCCAGGCAATTGATGAGCTCTCATCATGGCCTGCCAATTTGTCAAACGATAATTTCTGGTCCAACGAACTTTGTCATTTATCAGTTGTTTAATTTTTAAAAGCATTTTTAGGGGGTGATACGGCCCGGTCCCTTACCCACGAAAATCGACTTATTTGTTTGCTTTTAGGCCTCCTGATGTGCCTAAAAAAGCAGGAAAAACAACAAAATGCCTCGAAACCGATGACGGAGGTTGTCTAAGCTGATTAACATTAAGTTCCCGACACATGGCCAAAAAGGCGGATGTGTGTTAGGTTTATTATGTATTTTTTTTGGGGCGGATGTGAGCCGGAATAGATATTTTTGTTGGGCCTTCCGGGCGCCGATGTGAGCTTTAATTTATGACCACCCCCTAGTTTGGCCAGAAGGATCTTTAAATGTGGTCAATTTTGCTCTAATTTAATGGCAACTCTTTCTGGCCTTTATCTCCGACTCGGAATCGCTTTGCTACCACGGAATCGCTGGGTGATTTCCTTTATTGTTCCTTTACGCTTTGTCCGTGTGCACTGCACCCAGTTTCCGTTGCTGTTTTTATTATTTCAGCCTCGAGCTACGGTCTTGAACCCATCCAACAAAAAAAAAGAAATGAAACCCAGAAAAGCAGACAAAAAGGCCAACAAAAAAGGGGATATAAGAAAGTCACTCACTAGCTGCAAATGTCTCCCTGGTCCCTGTCCCTGTCCATTGGTTGGTTAAATGCTCCCGCGCTGTCAATATCCCAAATTGGAATATGTGTGTAAAACTACACAGAGAAAAAAGTCTAAGTATATAACTTAAATCATCAGCTATCATTTTTTTTCGGTTTTGATCAGAATTGATTCAAATTTAAAAAAAATTCCCTTTTAAGATTGCATGTTTTAGAAATATTTAGCATTAATAAATGGAACTCTAATAGTTGTGGTCTGTTTTAGCTGTAATACATATTTTAAAAATTAACCAGCTTATGTCGTTTGTATATTTTAATTTTTTACAAAATTTTGTTGATTTAAAAAATGATTGAAAACTATTTAATTGTTTTTGAAGATTACATTTTTGTTACTTTTTTACTATTTGCCTTAAATAAAGGTGAATCAAGTTAAATAAATATAAGTACATGTTTTAAGATCTCTGAATGACTATTATCTGCGAGTCTTTGCTCTACTGGTTACAACATTTTCTCTCCGTGTACATATGCACAATGTTTCCAGCACTCAGTTTGGGGCAGCAATATCGACACAGCGCACTTGCAAAAGTATCGCTTATATTTCTTTCGGCCCCATTATTCCGTGGTGTGAGGTTTCGGTTGGCTCTTTTTTATTATTCCTCCTCGGTTTGACAAACAAAAGGTTGCTGCATGGTGGAATTCGAGCGAATTGCATTTTAAATTGAAATGCCCGGGTGCGGCATAAAAACACGAATTTATGAAAGTCTTAAAAAGTCGGAATTGTCTGAAGCAGCGCACAAATAGTACAGAATTTAAAAAGGCCAAAAGCTTACATATCCTTTGTGTTGATTATTTTTTTCCGCCAACGACCAAGTCCAAGGAAAATACGAAATGGAGAAATTCAAACGCCTAATTGGCTGGACAAATGTCAAGTGCCAGGCGGCACCCACTGTGCACAGTGGGCAAACAATAGAGCCATGCTTCCTGGCACTTGAGAAAAACTGCAACTGTGGCAAAAAACCAACAAAGATGCCGGAGAGCGTTTAAACAGCAGAAATTCCACTGCTTTCCGATTTGTGTACGTGTCTGGCGGGGATTTTGGGTTGGGGGTAAAAAGAGGAGCCTCTTGGTTGGCTGCAGCCACTCTGGGTTATTTTTGTTGGCCAACTAAATCGTCAACGTCAACATTGTCGCATACCGTGTTGACATTTAGCCTTGCAGTGCCACCGCTGCAAAGGAGGACAAACACAGGACGAATAGAACAGAAGCTCCATCCTTCGATATTCCGGAAAGGAGGGGGAAGAATTCGAACCCCTTAGGCGTTGATATAGTACTCCCGCTTCTTCTGGCACTTCTCATACGCAATGTAGCACAGGGCGATGGTGATGAGCACCAGTATGGTAATCCCCATTATGATGCTGACCAGTATAATCTCATCGTTGATGCTTTTGTACGAGTGACCTGAAAAAGATAGCAAAAACAAGCGAAAGAAACAAGATTTAGAGGCCTCGATAACAAATTACAGGCAATTATTCTTGTCAGGTGGGTTAAATGGGTGGCTTCCCCGCTGTTGTTTGCCTATCCACAATACGTATTTTTTTAAGGGCTCAGCACATGCATATTCAAACAATACGTAAAACAAAAAAAAATTTAGCCGGACCATGACAAATGCAGTGTTGTAAAGAATAAATGATGGCCATATGCCAGAAGCAATCTGGATGACAACCCACGCACACACAACAGAGACATAAAAGCTTGCAATAAACAAAAATAATACGAAAATTGGATTTGCAATTCGCATTTTTACAACAGCAGATGTTCCAATATTTTACGATCTCCCCACACATGGCGTTGGATTGTTAACGCAATTATCGGGGAAACAGTATGCAAAAAGCCTGCCTGGGATTAAGTTTTAAGCTTGATTTACATACAATTAAATTAAAGGTAAAAAAGTAGGCTTAACGATTTGTACAAATGGTAAGTGACAATCATATAAACAAAATCTGCTTAAGTTTAATCAAAAAAATACAATATATCATTGTTATTAGTGTTAAGTTTAAACTTAAGACTGTGATCTCCCACATTTGAAATATTTGATTTTTTAAAATAGTTACTATTCTACTCCCAAGAACAGAAAGTTAAGATTAAATATCGGTTGTTTTAAAATTATACCAGATACAGTTTTGATATTAAAGTATAGATTCCAGACTAAATAATATTAAGTACTTAATAGGTACTTAAAAATTTTAATTTCTATATTAAAATATATTATATGGATTTATGGTATTATTTTTAAACCAATTATAATATAATAACATACTTCGAAAATTATTAATTTAGTAACAGTAGTTGCTTTTCTATGACTTTTCTATTCGGTGCTTGAAATATAATTATTAAAAAAAATTTTGAAACATAAACTAAAAACATGAATATTTGTCTTATGAAATGAATCATAAATCCCTTAATTTAAATCTGATTTGTTGTATACTTTTTATTTTAATCCCATTGCGGTTGGGTAATTTGCCAGGCCATTAACTTTTAGAGGTTTGACTTAAATTATAGGCCAGTGCGGTATTTGCAATATAAAGCATTCATTTAAAACGCGGTTGGTTTAATTTCAATTTGGCATAACCATAGCCATTTCCACACTGCCAACTTTTGGCAAATAGGCTCTCATTGTTCGGGTCCATTTGGGCCAGATGTTTGCTTTATGGGTAATTTAACACATAATCGATGCCGAGCATTCACTCGCCTTCAGCGCTCGACACACATCAAACAAATTAAAATCGTGTTTACAGGCAGCCAAAGAGACGCCGCCAAGGATTTGTTAATTAGAAGGCTCGTATTACGGAGGCTCAAAGCCCAATGGGCCATGTCCCAAAGCTGGGGTTCACCATAAATCTCATATTCGGTTTAATACACATTGTATGTGGTATATTATGCATATAAGTGTTTGTGCGCTCAATATGCTTAATGGTCGGCTTCGAGGCGTCGAGTGTTCTTCATGGTTCACAGTTCACGGTCACTTGGCCCACATAAATAGGCAATCATTTCGATTGTTTTCCCCTGGCTGAAAGCCTCACCTGCTGTGCAGGCCATAAAATTCCAAATGTATGCAGAAAATGTTGTGCAAATCGCTAGAAGATAAAACAAGATTTATGTGGAGATTTGTATTCCCAAAACAAGATATTTAAATGCCAAAATAAATAAAAAAGGCAAGCTGAAATATTTGTCAAGAGATTCTCGATTGCATTTTAATACTTTATTTCCATTTTATACTCGTATTATATCACCTTGGTTGTTCTAAACGGATTTCTGTTTGATAATTTTCTCGTCTTTAAGGACGAGGTGTGCCAATTTCGGGTAACCACATTGTTACTTAGTTTTGCAAATATTTCGCTTGGCTTGCGGCAATGGGAAAGTGAAAGCGCTGTCGACATATGGGACCCACTTTGAGCAGGAATCTAGATGCAAAAGCTATGCGGCTTTAACATAAAAACCCATGACTTTATTTTACATTCCAAAAAAGTGGGTTATTTCAGAGCCCTAAGATTGCATGGTATAGCGAAAAACTAAAGTGTTAGAGGTTTGGCAACATGGGAGTCATTTCCTAGGTCTTTAGGATGTTCCTTAATATAATAAATTTTTTTTTAGAACCTTTTTGAAAGGAACTGACTCTTTATCTTCAGTCCTTAAGTTTAAATGCCATGTTAAATATTAAGAATGCATATTTCTTGAATTTACTATAATTTCTCCAAACTATAAACATTCAGGAAAAAGTGTATAACATGTATAAAAATCTAGCATTGTTTATATAAAATTTGCTTAATTTATATACACATATTAAAAACTAAGATTTAATAGATTTCTAATTATTCCACAAAATCTCAAATAAACTCGGTATCCTTTTCAATTAGTTTAAGCAAACTGGCTCGTCTGTTTCTAATGAAATGGCTAATGGCATTTCCCAAGAGTTTCAGTGCTATAATATACCAATTAAGAAGAACTTTCAACCGACAATTGTATCATTAGCCACTTTGGCTATTTTGCAAAAGTTTCCAGTGACATTCAAGTGCGGTCAAAGTTTTGCGGTGCCTTTGCTATAAATACACACTTCTCGTGAATTGTTCAGGCATTTATAAGTTTTATTTTAAGACCTCGAATTTGCGGTTGCATAAAACATCAAATGCGCAAGAAAAGTTTGCCGTATCAAAGAATAATTCACAGAGATGCCTATCCGGGAGGGCTGACAAGGTTCGGGGCTGTCAAAATGTAAGTTATGATAGCGTGAAATATGCAAAACGAATGCAGGGGACCAACGCCTCCGACTCAGCAAATTGAAAGACGTAATAGAGCCCATGGGCAAAAACTGGGCTAAACTGAGCGTGAATTATTAAGGTTCCGACTGGATGGGCCCAACCGTCTTCGGGGCTCCAGCCAAGGACACATGTCCTGCTGCCAGCCGATATGTATGTATTATATTTCATTTATTGTTCTCTTTCCGACCAAAAATCTAGTCAATAAAGTCATTTGACAGATTATGTGAATAGACAGAGTACAAAAAACCCAAAGGCGAGGAGGAAAGCTAGGGTCTCTCATTCATCTAACATTATGTAATATCCTCCGCCGAATGTGTAAGAGTGCGTTTGTGTGGGTCCTGTCTCTGACATCTCCGAAATGTTTTGTGGCCACAAGGATTTGGCCAACATTAAGGAATTTCATTTGGGCAAGATTGAAGCAGAACTTCCCAAACACTCCAACGAGGATGCGACCGCCCGAAGTAAATGTTTGATCACACAGAGAAAAATGTCGAAAAATTTAAATACACCAATAAAAATAATTCCATGAGATTGTAATAATGAAACAAGATTACGCACAATTTTTAACAATTGACCAAAAATAATGATTATTAAAAAAAAAAATTTTTATCTTTTTAAGTCTTAAATTTATAATCTTCATAAATTATACTTAATTTTAGGCAAATGATTTCTTTTACTTGCTAAGTTCGTCTTAGAAACAACCTAACTTAAATTTTTATGAATGTGTTTTTCTCATTAAAAATTCAACGAATGATGGCAAAATCGCATTTAAAATTCTGACAAATGCAATGGAAACGAAAATCAATAGAAATTTGCTTGGATTTGGTTTGGAAGAGTTTTCAGCGACACTAATTGCTTTGATAAACAAATTAGAGTCAAAAATCGGCTGAATTTGTTTGTAAGAGTTTTCTGGGACACTAATTGAATCTAATGTTTAGGCGAAATCAAACCGGATGTTGAACACCCCCGTAATTCGGGCTCTTATTTTCTCTGCGTGGCTTTCTATAATTTGAATATGACCTCCTCTGATTGTAGAACTGTCCGGGTGCGAGAGGAAATTATCAATTAGATGACATCAAAGTGCGTTCAGATTTGAATTTCCCTTTCTGAAACAACACTGATTGCCGGCGGCCCTTAACCAAGAAGTGTCCCCTAAGAGAGCAGCGAAGACACTTTCCTGGAATAAGCTTGAATAACTTAGTACTCCCTGTTCCTTAGATCCGATTATTAATGTACTCACTATTCCGCACACATAATATACATACCTAGTACGAAGAAAAACCAAATGTTAGCTAAATAATCGCATTTGGTGGCCTGAAGACCAAACAAGATGGCGGAGCCAGAGGAACCACGGTTTGATTCGATGATATGGAAAGTAGCCCAAGGAACCGACTAACCTATATTACGAATCCCATAGGGAGGTTCGACTAGGTCGCTGCTGTAAGTACCACTGGCGAGGAAAGTTAGCTGTGATGATACCTATACTCACGTTGCCGATCCTCATTCTGGGTTTTGCGTACGACCAGGCTGTAAGTACGGGTTGAACTTTTTAGATGTGGATCATATTATCTAGAACTGATGTTTCAGGAGTACAAGTGTTTGTACGTCATAGTCACCATGGCACTCCTGTGGATCACCGAAGCCCTGCCCATTTACGTTACTGCAATGTTGCCCATTGCCTTTTTACCACTTCTTGGTCTTGTTGTGAGTGAAATTATATCTTATTATTTAATAATAATATAATTGAAAGAAACTGTATTTTTAGGAGACCGCAGCAGTGTGCAGACTGTACTTTACCGACACCATTGTCATGTTTCTGGGTGGTCTCATTATGGCCTTGGGAATAGAGTACTGTAATCTCCACACCAGAATTGCCCTGAGAGTTATTCGGATTGTGGGAGGAAGTCCACGACGGTAGGCCTGAAACCGCTTCATTATAACAGATCTTATCTTGCAAATTTTTGAATCTGTTCTTGCAGTTTATTTGTGGGATTGATGAGTGTAAGCGTTTTCATGGGACTGTGGATATCGAACTCGGCCGGAACGGCCATGATGTGTCCCATAGTCAAGGCGGTAATCAATGAAATGGATGCCGTAAGTATATCGATTTCAAAATACCATCTAACCACCTCCTAAATCTAT